GGTATGTGCGTGTGTCTTTATTCCCACTGCGTTGGACCCGAGCTAGATGTGACGGCACGCAAAGAGATGGCTCCGGCCGCGCCACCCTCCTGCGCCGTCTCCCACTTCGGTCTTCTGGACTTTGTTGTGACGCCGGCCCCAGGTGGGGGAGGAGGAGAGAGCGTGGTAAATGCAGCGCAAGTCTACTATCACCTGATGCATACACAAGTCACCGTCCCTGCATTCTTCCTGGTGTCGTGCGTACGGTGCACCTTGTCAAAATTAACGGCCGGCCTCTCGTGTTCTTTTGAATTTGTCTGGGTCATGTGGTATCCAAAGCCCTTATGGCAGAAACTGCTTGCTTCTTTGTGCCCCTCCCTTCCCCTCCCCCAGTTCTACTTAAACATATTTCCTGCTTATCCCATCTCTCCTTATTACCACTATTGATTATAACCTACAGAGGCGCCTTCCTCATCAATCATAAGCTGATGCAAGACATCAATGAACAGGCTGTGAAGGAACGGCGCGACTTGGAACGTGTGAGCAAAAAGTTGGAGAAAATCGCCGCGCGTCAGAAACAGCTGGGGAAGAATGCTGCCAACATCAACGAACACTACATCCGTACGTGTTGCTTTTTGGCCATACATATTCTAGGCTCCAAATACTAATAACTATAGTGGTTTTTGTTATGACTTCGGTATCGTGTAGCCTCTTCACTTAATAGTTGCTGCTTTTTGTACCCCTGGCTTTAAGACGTAGAACAGCTGTAGGAATTACAGTGACTCCACTAACCCTGGCCTTAATCAACCTCAGATCGTCGGAAAATTTGAAATTCGGGTCGGCCCCAGAACATATCACATAGCTAGATGTTAATGGTGTTATGAACTTGCCTCACGCCTCGATGCTCGTCCGTCCATCACCCCATCTCGATTGAATATTTAAATCATAAGTTAACAGTTGGGGTGGAAGAAGAGAGGCCCATCGATGTATTTTAACAATGTATATAGGGCTAAAGAAGAACATACGAGAACGTCCAATGTCGAACTGAAATTCCCACCAATCAGATAATGTCCTTGAGCTGGGATTCTGATTGCTTGAGTAGACCTTCAAACCTCTCGAGAGTTTACGTGACATCAGCGCGCGTACGACACGTGGACGGATCGATAGAGCGGTGTGCGAACGAGTCGGCTAGGATGGCTCCTCCTAACAGATCAAATTTGAGAAAGAGAAGGGGCTCACTGGAAGGGATGGAAGTAATGAACTTCGGTTAAGCAAATTGCTTATGACTCATCTAGTTGAACCACTATACCGATCAGCTCCTCCGTCTGTACTGGTCTTCTGACCTGAAAATATCCGCCAGATCGCATTCACCAGACCTACAATCGTTGCTGTTACTGGAAGCCTGAATGCCCCAGCCATTTCAGAAAATGACATTTTGTGGACGGCTTGCCCTTTTCTAGGACCGCTTCACAACTGACTGGTTACTTTGTTTTTGCATCCAGTGATCAGGTCCGGCGATTATTACCTCTTTGAGGGTGATCCGGAGGAGGAAGACGAGGACTCTGGTAGCGATCTCGATACCAATCCTAGTCACCGGCGTAATTTGAATCTCCACGGGGAGCAGCGCACTCGAAGTGGATCAGAAAGGGCCGACAAAGGGACTGGCGGAGGTAGAGGAGGTGAACTAGACGGCAGTGCCTGCCAGATGCAACGTCAGCACCTTCGCGATGCCTGGCCGACCATAGAGCCCAACAACTTGGACGTCCTCGGCCACTACACCGATCCCTATACCTCCGACCGGTAATTTGTACTTTTGTAGATGACTTATTCCAACTTAAACTTGATACGACTGTGATCATGCCTGATCTAGCCGGCTTCAATGATGTCATCGTAACCCTAGTAGCACGTGCAGATCAAGTGGACAAAATCCGGTATAAATCCGGC